CGCGAACGAACAGATCGCACGGGGGCAAACGACCGTTTGAATGTCAACTTTGTCAGAAAACGTTTGGCCACGCAATGAGCCTGTATCAACACGAGACTATTCACTGCCCTGACCGACATTTCCAGTGTCACGAATGTGGTAAAATGTTCAAACGTTCATCTACCCTGAGCACCCATCTGCTGATCCACAGTGATACTCGACCCTATCCGTGTCAGTATTGTGGGAAGCGGTTCCATCAAAAATCTGATATGAAGAAACACACGTACACGCACACTGGTAAGTACTTGTGTGTGTGTGTGTGCGTTTGCGTTTGCGTGCTTGATGTTTAGATATCCCACTGCTACATGTGTGTCGCCAAGACGTGGCGGACAGGCGGCATAGATAACTTTCATTTTAATCCAGTGGTCGTGTGTCTGAGTGCTTCTCCATCGCCGCCCGACTTCTTCGTATCCTTATTATTCCTGGTAGCTTTTGACTGACCAATTCCTCCTTCGTGGAAATTAATTCAATAAAATGGCTGTTCATCCAATTACATTCACCCCAGTTGTGGCATTTTGATCGGTTGAGAACAACGAAAGATGGTCTGTGTTGATATGATGAATTAGACAATTTACTCTTCTATCAAGATAATTAGGATTCACCATTGGCATATAAACGAATTAAAATATTTTTCTTCATTACCAAGTGTTGATCACTGAAATCTGGCTACAGATCAGTGTTCTCCAGTACACAGTCTCTGCCAAAAATGCATTACGTTAGATAAGTTGCATATTCTTCAACGGATTCTGCGTAAATGAAGGGTGAACCGGAAAGCTAGGAAGCACGGTACAGCCGTTTCGATCCGATTGGGTCTCATCAGCAGTGCGAATCCATCCACCTAATTGAGGATCGAACTCGGGACGTCACAGGCAGAACTCAAGCATGTTACTCACTTGGTCACTGGGCAGCTGATAAGACCGTTATTCATTTTCCACTTACAGGATATAGCGCAACCCTTCTTTGCTAGCTTGTTGCGGGCATCGCACCTCGCCCATCTCCGCACTAGCCTCCAGGGTTGTGACTCGGTTGAAAGGGTTCACAACGTGACTACTTCTATGTATACCTACGAGATTACTGTTTGCTAGAAATTTAAGTCAAGACTGTTTTCTAGAATCAGCTCCTTCTAGTTGATCGACTGTTGTGTCCCTTGAGGAGTATTCCACATCTTTGGTCTCCATCATTTACCCCAGTCTCCGCTGTGACTCCGAGAACACGAGGCGTGCATTCGCGATCAGAGCTTGGAGAACCGATCGACAGACTGGCGCACGGGCGGATAGGGTGATGGTAACCAAAGCCTGATTTCCTCGACGAGAAACCATGTGGCGTGTGAAGACAGTTATTCCGTAATAGGTGGATGAGGTCTCTTGCCTGATTTAACGGTCACAAAGGAAATCTGCACAATAGACAGAGCTAAACGAATCCATCAAGGGGTGAATGAATTCCTAGTGGGTAACCAGAAGCCAGGAACCAACAGTCTGTTACATTGCAAATACTCGAGCTGCATCCTCAGAAAGGTCGGATACCTCTTTTGTCAGACCGGAATTCATAGTCTGTATTTACCGTGAGGCGATCGGCTTTTACGCTTCACGGATCTAGCCCAATAAGAAGAAAGTAAACAGTTTGAGGAGCATTCTGCTCATGAAATAAAATCTCAACATTCTATGGTGCATCTCAGACGTGTCGAATAGAACTGAGGTTTTCCCAAGCCACATTTTGTGCAATACTTGGAAGAAAGAAATGTTCTAGGTGTATAAACTTTATCAGCAGTTGATTTTAACTTGTTGGGCCTAAAATAATTTGGTTGCCTGGTTGCCTGGGAATCTGAACACAGAAGGACTTAATTACACTATGAATATATATCCCTTTTTTGCAGGCGAGAAACCTTACGTATGTCTTCAGTGTGGCAAAGCATTCAGTCAGTCATCCAACTTGATCACACACTCGCGGAAGCATACCGGATTTAAACCGTTCTCTTGTGTCCACTGCATGCGAGCGTTCCAACGCAAAGTGGATCTGCGAAGACATATCGAGACACAACACGATCTCAGCTCGACTGACTGCTCACGGAGGACCACAGAGGCGGGTGTTGCTGGTGCAGACCTAAACGATTCGGGTGTCGTGCCTTTCAGATTGGAACTGTCCACACAACTCACACCCAATTCGGAACAGACGACACACAGTTCGACGAACGTGAAACACACTATGAATTCCACTCTGTCCTCCAGTACCGAGGAGAACGAGGCAGTACGATTGACTGACGAACCAAAACAATCGGGGACTGGGACCGGGGAACACAACGGGCAGAATTGTAAATCCAAGCCATTACCCTATTCTGTGGAACTGCTACTTGGACCATCAAAATTCCATTCGAATGACTATGTTTGATTTCCGTTCTCGACATCCCTTATTACACACTCTTCTGTACATAATGATATATCTACTTCGATGTACAGCTATATCAAGTGGGCGACATGATACACCACCGTTCCTCACCACCTACCGCCGACTGATCGAGCGAGAACCAGTGCGAAGACATCAACCACAACTCTATTGGCTTCCAAAACCTGTTCACTGGGAAATGTATGGATGGGAACAGTTTGTCAACACACCATGACACCATGACCAGGCTGTTCCCTTAACGGACATTGTAATTTGACCGACTTTATTTTATTTTGTTTTATCCTTCTCAGTTACTTTGTGAGAAAATATATTACAGATGCATCCATCTCTCTCACTCTCGCAGACACACACACACACACACATATATATATAAATATATTTGAGTATATGCATACGAATGTATACATATAAACGTGCGCCAAACTTGTGCTTGTTGATATCCTTATTCCGGTGTGGAGTGTGTCGTCCAGGCTGTGTTCGAAAAGCAACTGTGACGGATGTTGTGGTTAGGTGTAAACAATAATCCCCGATCGACTATTGTTAACTGGTCACATGTTACTGGAGAAATAGAGAATTTTCCCCTGTGATCTCGAGCTGTATCAAATTATTATTATTATTATTACACATTTAATTACTCCCCTTGTGACAGGAAGAAGGAGGGAAACCGCGTATAGAGCAGGCTTGTTCTCGACAATTCCACCCAGTTCCAGTTGTCAAACGATGGTGTTGATTGTTCTATTTCGAGCCAAACAGCTAAAAGCAAGCAGCTGAGTTTGACTTAAACGAACTTGGGCCCTGGTTACACTATTTCCGTAGAATTTTTGCCTTTCTCTCGGACTTTAACGGAATTCCATTCAGTGAAATGAAATCCGGTTTCAGATGCGCAGTTTCCCCTAATCCGTTCTCACGACGGAGCGAAAAACAGAGGAATTACTCAAACGAAATGATACACCTCATTCAATCAAAGAGATTAGATAATTTAGATAGTGTCAGCTTTCAGGAATACATCTTCGGATCGATACTGCACGGCATTTGTTTCAAAGTGTATTCTTCTACGGTGGCTGTATAGTGTGTGCATTAGACCCACTGACTTGGTCCAGTTGATCGGCGGGACAAAAACGTGTGCGCTGCTAGCGAACTAAGAGTACAATTAGTAGATCTGAACTCAGTACTAACGGAATTCACATGTTATATAAATTTGATCAGAAGCGACAGTTTAGCTGATGTGGCAGTCTCGACCGAAGCATATGATCACAGTTTTCTCTGTCTGTTCCGGTTTAAATAGGATGGCATCTTGCACGAGAAGTTATATGGCCATCTGAGACGTTTCCATCTGTTCATCTCACGCGACATGTATAGAATATATCTTCTCATCCAGGTGGTGAGACAATAACGCAAACAAACAAATAGGTAAATACGAATTTAGTCAAATTGGAGTTGTGAAAAATTCGATTCTTATTAACTTAACCTCTGAGATATAATCACTCCATCAACTATAGCCTCCCACACTCTTCCCTAGTGTCCATTCAATATAGGGACGATTTCTTTGATCCCATACTGCAGTCCAAAGTTATATCGATCTGCTCCGAGTAATGCTGCATTCGAAAAGCTACAGATCAATCTAAGGCGTCGTCGAATTGGAAGAGATGTTTGTTTCCTCGAGCACGAATAAGAATGTACGGTTTGCCGTTTTTCATTGATTGGCCTGTGCCAGTTCATGGACATTGGAATCTGAGACTGATCACATTGTTTTGTGATTTATTTGTGTCATACTCTGTCATAGTTCTTCTATTCCCTGTGTTTATTTTGGACTCATCATTACGGTGGCATTTTGTAATGATCATCAATGGAATTTGTGAACTCGACTAATCTAAGGTAATTTAACAGTTTAACCTATTACAATCATTTGGCCAACCAGTGTATTGTCGGTCCCAAGCAAGAAACGGGGTTGCGGATCTCAATCTGTGGGTTCGAGTCCCGACGAGTCCTAAAAGGCAGAAAACAGTTATTTATTGCTCTGTGTGTGCTATCACAAGATTCTATAGCAACAAAACGCCGTTAAACTCTGCGATTATTCTTAAAATAACCAGCGGAATACGGAAATCCACAATGCAGTATACCTGCCAATGTTAACCTACGTTTACGGACTGAATGAAATCAATAAAACATAACTTCCCATAGGTTTATTTGGCAATTTTTGTTGAAACCAACGAGTTTGGTAACTGTTTTGAAATCGATCATTAGTGCAGACTATTAATCAGTGAATCGTGTGACTTTTCTCAACAATTTACCGGCACTTCTCGTTTCCCAATTAGGGCGATGTAAACGAACAGTGTTTAGTCACGTGGGTTTGATCAATACGCTCTACAGTCAAATTAAACAAGATCAGACCGTGAGTTATTCCATAGTTTTGGAACTAACAGCTGCTGTGTCTGCAGGTTACAATCTAGACTTTACATGGTTAACAGGTCGATGGTTTTCATGCTTCTCGGTCGTGCCACTATTTTAAATCTTCCGTACGGATGATATCACTCATGAGGTGATAATGTTACGCACCGTGTCATTACCATCAATATCTCCATAGCTACACGCGTAAATGGTTCGTTTGACGGACTGACGAATTAGAGCGTGCGCACAAACACACACAGATATTGTCACCACATGCAATCGGAAATGTCGCGGGATTGTGATAGCGGATCGTGTGCGCAGCTCCGGCCACTTGTTTCGGGCAGAATGTCGTCAGTCGACCGAAACTGCTATTCGCTGCTCGACGTGGTTCATCAAATCAAACCACATTATAGTTGGGGCAAATTGTGCTCAATTGTGCTCAATTAGCATTGCAAATCTCCGTCTCTCTCTCTCTCTATTTGCCGTGGTTTGTTAAAGCAGTTTTCAGTAAAGTTAAGTCAAGTCAATGGAAACTGTACTCAATGGGATACGTCAATCCCCAGGTAAGGCACAAATCACAGCGGAACGAGAGTTCATCAGTGATGCGTGTATGGGCAATTAAGATATGTAATTAATAGGGATTGATGCTGTTCTACTAACGGTAGCGTGAGGAAAAACGGCTATTCCACCCGAGCTATCCTCCATATGGGTTTCGTGCAACTCTTCTCTGCTGCAATCAAATTCAACCATGGTCTTACCTCGAAATGATCGGTTTTCTCCCTCTTGGTTTATGTTTGGATGGAGAAAGTTCTTTGAATATGCAACCGATTGGGATTATGTTCACGTGGAATCACTTTCACAGTTCACCAACTGAGTCATCGGATTTATGTGCTGCTCGAATAAGTTAACTCTCGGCTTCAATTACATGTCAAAAAACGNAAACGTTTGAACGTTTCATCCGGTTTGGGTATCGTGACACTAAGAGAAGCTTATTCAGTGAGCCTCAAGGTCAGCTTTGATGTTTCTTGGAGTTTGTTTTTAGTTCTTTCTGTGTTGGGGATAATACATGAGTAGTTCATAGCCAAATAGTTTATCAATTTATTAATTTAGAAAATTTTCATCATTGGCTTATTCATTGTTCACTGAATGAAAAGAGATAAGCTAGTGATGATAATAATAATAATAGTCTTCATCATCATCACCATCGTACAGCGAGAAACAGTGATGTGACCTTCGCTGCTTGCTGCCAAGCTCATAATTTACATGAATTAATTGACAAAGTACAAGATGGAGAGAGATTGGGCTTAATTGGAGGGATGCAAACAAAGTGTACCTCTATGGTCAACACAGAGTACACAATCCAAGTGTGCATACATAATTTTTCAAGCATTCTGACCTCATAAGAAATGACAACAGGAAAACCAATACTGACGGTTATTTGCCATGTCCATCAGTATCTCCAACCAACCAGTTGGGGAGTCTTTTGGATTCCAACCTGGAAGACGGGAGACATCGATTTTACCTAATCGCTTTGAGCATTTTTTCATATCTCGTCTCCACGTCATCTGTTGACCTCCAATGAGGACTGGGCATTTTTATTGTGTCCTAACCAGCGAAGCCTACTAATCTGAATTCGATGGGACAACGAATTCTCCATATAATCATTACCAAATACGCGATGGCCTACCTCAGAGTTGCTTATAAACTAGCTCCATTCAATCCGCGCCAAACTACATAAACGTCTGGAGTCTTAGACTTCTCGACGATGAATATCTTCCATGCGCAAATTAAGGGTCTCAGAACCATGAGGCAGAACTGAGTGCACACTTTCGCACTGTACACGACGTTTCAGTGTCAACGAAACATTACGTCTACACCAAAGATGTTTTAGTCCTATGTAATTTGCTCGAAACTTGGAAATACGGGCAGTTATTTCCTTTGCTGCGCTACTGTCATTGGTGGGGGAACTACATAAGTAGCAAAAACAATCCAATATAATTTATTCCTGGCCATTTAGTTTCAAAGTGGGAGTAGGGGACATCCAGTCTTGCAGCATTAATTTGCAATTTAAAGATGCAACGCAATTACCGAATGGAGTTACAGAACTTAAAGGTCTGTCAAGAGCGCCTTGCGCATCCTCCATAAATTTAAACAAGCAAACAATGCCGTCAGCATACTCTAAAAAGCACAGCTTTTCTCCAGCTGCCCATTCAATACCTAAGTTTTGAAGACCACTCAGTGCGTTGTTCACTATTTCCTCCACGACGAAATTAAATACGAATGGCGAAATATGGCACCCTTGACGGACACCGCTCCTGGTTTCGAAAGATTTACTTACCTTACCGTAGACCTTTACGCTACCAGAAGTATGCAGGTACAGTGACCGCAATAGGTTTACATACTTCCTTTACGGAGCAGCGACCCCAGAAGAGCTTCACGGACAACTGAATCGAAAGATCCTTTTGGGTTTAAGAAAATTGTGATTATTGGTCGACGATGTGTGTGACGCTGTTCGAGGACTTGACGCAGAGTGAAGATTTTGTTGATGCACCCGCAACCTGGTAGGAATCCGGCTTTTTGTTCGCCGATATTCCTCT